GCTTGAGCCAGGACATCTGGACTGCAAAGTATTTTAAAGTAGCAAGTAAAAAATTTAATAAATGGAGTTTGGACAATGAACTTTCCATTGGAAAGAAATAAAGTTAAATCCTACTTCATACTATACATTTAAAAATCCAGATGCATTAACAATCTAATGTAAAAATGAAAATCATACAAACAAATAGAAAAAATGTAGGAAACATTTTTATGATTATGGAGTAGAAGAAGGCATTTTTAAACATGACATCAAATGCAGAAGCCATAAATGAATATATTGACAGATTTGACTAAATAAAAATTGTAAATTTCTTTAGAGCAAAATATAACGTGAACAAAGTTAAAAGACATAACATAGCCTGGAAGAAAGTGTTGAAACATATGTAACAGATAAAGGGTCAATATTCACAATATATAAGGAGCTCCTCTAAATAAATAATAAGATGATTTCACAGAAAAATCAGCAAATGACACAAGCAATTCACAGGTAAAATATAAATGGCCAAGAAACAAGTGAAAAGATTTTCAACTTCATTAAAAATCAAGAAAATGCAAATTAATTCAGGGGCCAAGGGTCTCAGGGAGGCCCTGATGGGATGCCCAGGAGAGATTGGAGTTGCCGCCGCCCACAGTGAGACTGCTTCTGGCAGATGAGATGAACTTCTTTCTCTTCCAAGTCAGGATCCACCTCTGCCCCAGGAATGGGTGCGGGCTCTGGCTCTGGCTCCCTCTTTCCTTTGGGAAGCATGACTTCCTCATTGCATGCAGTCTGGGAGTTGAAACAGGAACCTTGGGATTGCCACAGACCTTGGACTGAAAGGGGATTTGTGAGGTGTTTCTCCTCTGTCTCTATATAGGACCATCCTGTCCTTCTCTCACCATGCCAGCCCTTCAGAATTCTCTCCTAGGCCCAGAAAGTCTGTCCTGGTGTCTAGCCTCAACTCCAGCTTCTGCAGTATTGGGAAAGGACTTCTGTCTGGAGTTTTGGTCCCACACTCCAGCACCCTCATTTCAGGTCTTCAGGTGGAGCTGAGCTGGGCTCTGGCCTGGAGGAGCTGCAGCTAGGTGCTTAGACAGGCTGGGGCCAGAGGAAGCTCTGTCCATCGATGACTGGAGGTTAGAAGCAGTACACTGTATGCTGCTGAGCTGTGCCCAAGGCTGGGCTGCTTTGAGCCAGAAAACAGCCCTGGCTGGGGATGGAAATCCCTGGGGCCAATGTCTGCTATGCTTCAGTCTGGGGAAAGACCCTAGGGATGCTAGGAAGAAGGAACAGCATGTGCCCACCCTTGGGAGCCCCAGTATGATGGAGGAGGGGGACCCCTCCCTGAACCCTGCATCTGGATTGGCCATCTTCTGTCCGCTTCTGCTCATGCAGGTTGGACTTGCTTTTCCAAAGTGAGTTCCCAAGATTTGAGCCTGCTGCTTTCCAAGTCTCACTCCACTGGTGTGCAAGACCCTGAAGAACATCCACAGAGGAACAGGGCAAAGCTGCCATGAGGCCCTGAGGCCCAGAGACCCCACGTCAAAGAAGGGGTGGGGAGATCTGGGGTTAATTAGGGTGAGCTTCCTGGGGAAGAGCAGGCAGCTCATTGGCTGTGGCTGATGGAGAAGCACCCAGAGCTGTGAAGGGCATGTAGCGGGGCAGCTGGGCTGAGGTCTGAGCCTGTTCTGGTTGGCTGACCCCCTGGGAAATCCAGGGAGTTTCCAATCTGAGAGCTTGCGGGGGGGCTGGGGTGGAGGAACACAGTCCTGCTGGGTGGGGAGGGCTTCTCACCTCTTGTCTTAATCCCTCCTGCTGTGGAGGTGGGAGAAGCAATGCTGGGGTGTGTGTGTTTTCACTGGTGTCAGTGTCTGTGTAAGTAAGTGTGTACCTCTGCATGAGTGTGTACATATTTACATTTGTGTTCTCACTCTCACGTGTCACCGTGGGTGCGCATGAAGTCTGTGGAGCTGTAACGTGCTACTGGGTATGTCCGTACCAGAATCTGTGTCTAAGTGTGGGCATCCACATGCAGTGAGAACACTCAGGTCTGGCGTGGGGTGCAGAGGCGTCTGAGCAACTGTGTGTGTACAAGTGGCTGTGGCTGTGTATGTCTGTGTGTCTTTCTGGGAGTGGTCCTGTGTGTCTTTCAGGCTGTGAGAGCCTATAATGTGCGCATGAGTGTTTGTGTGTGAATGTGTGTAACTGTGTGTACACAGGTATCCATGTCTGTGCATGTGTCTATGGGTTCTGTGGGTACCCAAGGATCTGTGACTCCGTGTACACACATCTGTGGGTCTTTCCACCCACCCTTCAGAGCACTCTTCTGAGTCTCCGTCACACTCTTTCCAACCAGGCTGCTCTGTTCCCTTCTTCGCCTCCTCCTCTGCACACCCCCTTCCCCTTCCCTTGCCAAACTGGGGTGGAGGCTGTAGGGGCCTGCTCTCTAGGCTGGTACCTCACCAGAGCTTCACCCACCCAGTTCTACCCGACCGCTGACCCAGCACTCCCGAGCTTCCTCCACCCTTCCCTCCCTCCTTCAGAAAAAGCAGCCTCCCCTCCAAGCCTGTGAGGAGACAGGAAGTCATGGCCTGCGCCCCCGAGGGGACTAGTCTGGGGCCAAGGACCTTAACCCCTAGAGCTGCACTTTGGCTGGGGCCCCGGTCCAGGCGAACTCAGAGAGTGGTGTGGACAGCCCTGCCCCTGCCTCCACAAGCTCCCTAACAAGCTCCGCCTATCCCTGGGTCCTCTGGTTGCCATAGAGAGCTGGTGCTGGCTGGCAGGAGGAAGGAGTAGGGAAACAGGGACACTCCCAGGACCTCAGGGGACAGGGATAGGGGAACACTCGGCTCAGAAATCTGGGCCTCTCTGCTGAGCTTAAGGTGACATTGGCCAAGACAGGTCAAGACGTTTCTCAAAGTAACGCAGCACTCCACGTATGGCAATCCAGAAAGAGGCTTGGAGGGGAGCGTGTCCAGCTTCCCTCTGGGAGCAAGAAGCTCCTGTATGCTTCCCAGACATTCCTCCTTAATGCACTGTTCACTGTGCCAGGCTCTGTGTAGGAACTGGGGACACAGCTCCAAACAGGCAGATTGTCCTCACGTTGCTTCCAGCCTCGTCGATCTTAGCAATGGGACGCTCACTACCGCAGAAGTTGTTGAGTCCCAGTACCACACAAGTCCGGCTGGTAGGAGACACCCAAAGTTCACTGCTAACTTCCTGGAAGCCATCAGTGAAAGGGTGTGGGTGCCTGCGCAGGAGGCCGCAGACCTAGTCCCAGCAGGGCCCGTCTACCTGCTGCAGCCTGGAGTGTGTGTGGAGGAGCTGAGCTGCTGGGCTGCCTGTGCAAACCTGACCCAGCTGGCAGGCCCTTCCTTCAAAGACTGGCCCAGGCCATGCCGCTTTATTGCCCAGTTAATGATGGTGATTAGGCCGACAGGTGCCACCTGCTGCCTGTCCACCCTCCTGCCTGCTAAAGAGGGTGTTTTCTGAGCACCTAGGGGAGGCTTGGCCGCAGAGCCCTGCCAGGGCATCCACCACAGCCGAACTCTCGACCCTCAGGCTGGCTGGTGTCCCTCTCCTTCCCGGAGAATGCAGGGCCAGCCCGGTGCTCACTTTCTGGGACTGCTGTGTGATCTCAGTCCACACCTGTCCCTCTCTGAGCCGGAGTGAAGGGGAAGTGTGCCGAGAACAGTGGGCAGGGCATGTGCACCCTGAGAAGCATGCTCTCGTTTTCCCCAGCCAGGGTCCAGAAGGAAGTAACTTGCAGATGGAGCTGGGCTGCTCCTTAGGGTGCCACCACATTGTGGGTAGGCCACTGGGGGAGCCCCACCATTCTGGGGCCGACTTGTTTCCAATGCAGGGGACTGTCGCCTGGGGCTTTTGTGGGTGGGAGGGGGTCCTCCTGTGGGTCTGAGTGGGAGCCGTGATTTATGGCTGTGCTTCATGAGTGAGGAATGCCAGCCCGGGGGGCCAGGGTGGGGCTGGAGCCACCCGCCTGACACTCCTGGCTCTCTGGGATGCCTGGCATGTCCTGTCAGGACCCCCTGTCCCCTGGGGACACCCATGTACTCCCCCACACAGTGCCCCCTCCTATCTGCACTCCCAACCCCCAGCTCCGGGAGGATCCAGTGAAAGCCTGGCCCAGGGGGATCCAGTATGAAATCCTTTCTGGTTTTCTCTCTTCACAGCCCAGCCCCCTTTTTCATTTGGGCATGAAGGTGATGGGAAAGATCTCTTTTCTGTCCCACTGGAGCAGGATGGGATGGGGTGAGACTCTAGGAAACTTCTGTTTGGATGAATTCAAGGTGGACACGCCACTGTCCACAGTGGGAGAGACCTAGCATCCACACAAAGATGAACTTCCAGCAGGGAAGGGCTGTGTGGCCCGAAGAAGGAATGATGGATGTGGTATCATTCTTCCCCATCCCTACCCCCACCTTGCTAGATAAATGAAAACTCTGGAGTCCATGAGAGTGTGGGGTGGGGGAGTGTGGGGAGGCCGGGTGGAGGCGGGGCGGGGGAGGTGGAATCATCCACAGTTGTCTGGTCCTGGACTCTGAAGGCCATGCCAGTTTCCAGCCTGTTCCTGTGCTGCAGGATGAGGGGCCATCCTCTGGGCACCCAGCACAGGTCAGCCTGCCTCCTCTGGCCTCGTGGGACCGGTTTTTCCAGCTGGAGGAAGGGTCGATGAGGAATTGGCAGGGGCAGAGGGTTTTATGTAAATACCCAGGGAGTGCTCTGGGAACGGGGAGGCAGGTTTTCCCAAAGACACGCAGGGACTGGCAGCTCCCAATTAGCCGGGCCCAGTGATGTCAGTGCTGCTCTCCTAGGTGGCTGCGCCCACTCTGATCGGCCTTGGCAGGGATGCCCGACCATTACCTTCCCCTCTGGGTGGGGGGGTGCCAAGGGGGCTGCATACAGGACAGAGGCCAGGCCCCCTCCCTCTGAACCCCCCAATCTGGGGTCTGAACCACATTGGGGACTAGCCCCGGAGAGTGCCACGAAAAACCATCCCAGACTTTATTGAAAAAGACTTTAATGTGGTTAATATTTGAACCTCCACCAAAACACCGGAAGGCTGGGGAGCCCTCAGTATGTTGGGCCAGTCCCAGAGGCTGTTCCCATGGCAGCTGCTGGCAGGCCCTCCTCCCAGGCCACCCAAGCCTGAGTTCCAATAAATACAGTGCAAATAAGTCTGGTCACTAAACTGGGGAGACCAAGACCTGGGGCACCAGAGAGGACACATTGTATTGTCTGTGAACACACACGTGCATTATCCAGCATACACACCTAGGATCATGTGCATTGCACACAGCCCCCCTCAGATAGCCTCACATCACACACCCCTCCCATCCATGCAGGCGCACCCATACGCGCGCGCACACACACACACACACACGTGCACGCACACACCTTTTCTTCTGGCACATAGGAAATTGAGCATACACACCTTCCTTACAGACACACAAAAGAAAGGCACACATGTGCCTTTCTCTCAGCCATTGGCCTGGAGCTGGGAGCTTGGGGTGTCCCCTCCCGGCTCAGAGGAGTGGGAACGGGGTAGGTCTTCCTGGGCATGGCCGATGGGCTGCGCCGCAGCCTAGGGGCTTGGCATGGTGGTGTTGGCCGGGCTGGGCAGGCACTGGGCTGTGGTGTTGTTGGACTGAGCCCAGGAGGGGAAGGAGTGCAGGCTGAAGATGGTGATGCTCCAGCTGTTGATGGCCAGTGTGATGACCAGGACTCCAATGATGTTGAGCACGAATCCCGCCCGGGCCTGGTGTGAGGAAAGTCCATTTGGCTAAGCAGGGGCTGGGCCGGACTGCCCCCAAGTCCCCAGGTATTTGGGGGTGCACAGGAGCCCTCCCACCAGCAAAATTCTCTCTGGGAAGTTCTCCCTTTTGTCCAACCTGTAGCATAGCCAATGCCTTTGCCCCTTCCTTTACTCCCAGTGCTAACAGGGAAAAGGGGCACTCCTCCTGAGCTTCCAGGGCCCTGGGCTTGTTCTCTCTGAGCTCATCTCCCTGAGTGTGGGTGCCTGGCATCTTGGAGCCTTCCCCATATTCCCCACCCGCTTCCCTCCCTCTCACATAGCCTGGGGCTGGCAGGGCCTGAAGATGCCACCACTGAGAGGTCATGTCCCAACCTCCCCCACTGCACCTTCATCCCAGATGAGGGCCCGCTCAACTCTGAGACTCTCAGTGGCTTTAAGCTGCTTTGTGATTCACTAAGATGGAAAGTCAGAGCAGGAAGGAGGGATGAGGCATTCAGGCCTCCCTGCCACTCACCATATCCAACACTTTGATTCCCCCGAAAGAGAAGACGATGGCATTGGGTGGGGTGGCCACAGGCAGCATGAAGGCCAGGGAGGAGGCCAGAGTGCAGGGGAGCATGACGTAGAGAGGGTGGAGGCAGATGGCCTGGGCCTGGAGTGGGAGGCAGTGGGGCAGAGCTGACCTTGGTCCCCATCCTGGAGGGAGAGGCATGGCCCCCAACCAATTCTCTTGCTTCTCTGGGGGACAACCCCTGCACCCCAGTACACTCTCTGGTCATGAGCCCACCACTTCTCCCAGAAGGCACTGGGTGACCTGGGAAGGGCCTCTTGACCTCTCTGGAGGGAATGAGTGTGCTGCCCTGCCTTGTGGGGTGTGGTGAGGGGAGGGGCCCATAAAACAGATCTCAAAGGGGCTCCGGGGGTGTCATCAAAGGCTGTAGGAACACGTCTGGGGAGGAAGGGGCTTGGGACGCTTCGGGGAGCAATTTCACCCCGTCACCTCAGGAATGATCAGAACAGGGACTGGGGTGGGGACTTGGGTGAGGCCACGAGGATCCCCATCAGGATACTCCAGAGGTGACGTCACGAGGGACGGGGTGAGTCAGGGGCCAAAGTGCCTTGGGGCCCAAGGTGGCTCAAGAGCCTGGAGAAGGATGGAAACTCAGGGGTCCTCTTCAGGAAAAGGAAAAGAGGAGGTGCAAAGACAGGATACTCTGCCCAGCAGGCAGAAGCCCCGGTGGGGCAGGCAGGAGGACTACCTGGAGGAGGTGTTTCTGAGGGCCAGCTCACCATGGAGGCTAGGATGGGCAGGAAGATCGTAGTAGTGGCCACGTTGCTAGTGCACTCAGTGAAGGTGGCCACCAGGAGGGAGAGGATGACCACAATGGCTGGAGGTGGCACACTCTGCAGTGGGGTCAGCTTGTTTCCCAGCCACTCTGACAGGCCCGATCGCTGTGGGCAGAGGAGGATGGTGTGTGAGAGGCAAGGCTGCCTGGGCCCCCAAGTCCTCTGCTGAGGCTCTATGAGGCTCCTGCTCCTGCTCACACCTCCCTGGTATTCAGAGTCAAAGACAGCTCTAAAGGGATGTTAGGATCCAGCTAAGACCAAGGGGCGCCCTTCCCTGCTCTTGAAGAACAGCTGGGTGTGGGAAGAAGGGGCAGATGAGAAATTAGGAAAGGGGGCCAAAGGGCCTTCTTGGGAAACTTGGAGCTTGGTGGGAGCAAAAATCTTTGACCGCACTTAGTCTTGCCTTTCTGATCTCTCTCAGGAGGTCCCTTGACAACCTTAGCCCTCTTCCTGCCCTTTCCAGTCCAGTGGCTTGGGGCAGAGAGGACCTTGCTCCTCGCAGGGAGGGAAAGTTGGGGGAGGACCCTGATAGAGGCTGGAAGAGGCTAATGGGAGGATAGGGACAGTCCACAGGGTCAGAAGAGCTCCGAGGTCTTGCCTTGCCACGTCTGGAATGCCAGGCTGTAAGCTGGGACTTAACCTTGCTCAGTGGGGCCAGTGCCTAGCACAGCACTGGGCACAGTCAGTGGGTGAACATGCCACAGACCCAGGAGTACCCTGCACCAATCCCTGACCTGGGCAGCTGCCTCCTGTTTGAGCCAGAACACTGAGGCCCAGGGATGCCGTGTCAGGGATTTCCCTCTTTTGGATGGAGGCTCTGGGGAAAGATGTTCTGGTCCCCAGAGCCTGGGTGGGTGTGATCATGGTGCCCCCTGGTGGCTGCAGTGGGCAGACCGCATCAACATAAACCCCAGTTACTTCAGTGCAGAAGCTATTGCATGCTCTGTCTGGCAGGGGGCAAGCGGCGTGCTCTGTCTGGCAGGGATGGCATTTGTCTCTGAGAACAGGCCCCGCCCCACCAGAGAATCCTGCCTTCCCTTGGACTTTGAGAACTGAACTAAGGAGAGGTCCCTAGGGCTTGTGTTTCTTCCTCCCACATGGGGGCTCTAGGTCTCCCCAGCTGCTGCAAAGGCTCTGCCCACCCGAGAGGCTCCTACATGGGAACCAGGTCTCCCCTCTGTGGGACAGAAGCAGGGCCCCCTCTCTTCCTGCCACAGTCTCCCTCACACAAGCTAAGGAGGGGGCTGGGGGCCTCTCACCTCACTGCCCTTGGCCAGGGCATAGCCACCACCCAGCAATAACACGATATTCCACGGCATCTTCTGGTTCACTGTCTTCCAATCGAGGAGGCCAAGAGGGGCCTTCAGCTTCCCTGGGTTTTCTACTCCCCAAGCAGAGAAGGATGGGTCACCAAAGAACAAACAGGCCTTTCCCCTCTCCATTTGGGGGCTCCCTGTGTGGGTCCCTTTTGGAGCTTAATGCATGTAGGAGGGGACTCTCAGTTCTGCAACATCTCATCTTTGTCCCTGAGTCTCTGTGCCCTTGGCAAGTCGTTCCAGCCTTTCTGGGCTTTGCCTACTCCTGCCAAGTGTGGTGGAAGGTACATTACATACTTGAAGGCAGGGGCTGCCTGGAGACCCTTCCCTGTCCCAGTCCAGGTGCTTACCTGGGTCCTGGGTCAGCCCTGGGAACTTGGAGGGTATGATGAACATAATTATGCCGATAAAGATGGCCACTGTCCCATCGGACACCATGCTGTTGGTGGGGGGACAGGGAAGGCTGGGTTAGCAGCCTGGGGTTGTTCAGGGCCACAAGGTGGAGGGTGGTGGAGAGGAGCCCCTCCCATAGACAAGCCTGGGGAAACTTCATCCCCCACCGAGTGTTACCTCCTGTTCTGCAATGGGGGCCCTACACCCTTTCCTCCTCCCTAAGCATGTAAGTCCCAGATGTGTCCTCCTCCCATCCCCTGCAACTCTCACCTCTCCCCCGTGGCATTGGGAAAAGCGAGGTTGCCCCAGCCAAGAAAAAACCCCGGCTCCCGGGTGAACCAGAGTAGCACCAGAATGACGAACAGGACACTGATGGCCTTTTCTGCAAAGGTCATGGGGCCCAGCAGCCTGTGCTCGGTCTGGATGACGCCGTAGGCTGCTTGGTGTTGCTCCTGCATTTTCTCCCCAGTGCCAAAGTTCTTCCGGAAGCTGCAGGCAGAGGGACGGGGCAGTTTGTGGGGGGCCTGCTCCAGGCAGGGAGCAAGGGGCTCTGAGTGCCTATGATCTAAAGGCTGAGGCCCAGAGAGGGCATCTCAGGGTCACTACACTCAGGCCCCGGCTCCACCTGAGGTTCTGGAGGAAGAGCAGAAGACTTTTAGGGGTCATAGTTCTTGCTTATTCCCCATGCTTGGCCCTGCTCCTTTGAGCCCCTTTTCTTCCAGGGATTCTATGGTGCTGAACCCTCCCTTGCCCAGGGTGAGAAAGACTGAGCAGCTCAAACCCTGGGACTTCTTCCAGCCCTGGCTCACAGCTCTCCTCCTCCAACAGCCTTTGGGAACTCCTCCCTTCCCTCCTTTGCCTGCTCTGGGTATCCCCTGCCAGCCTGAGTCCCACTTGCCTTGTCCTCAGAGGCACAATAGGCTGCAGTCCACTTCCTTCTGCTGCTGACTTAACTTGTGTTGACATTCAACTTTCCACTTGGGTAAATCTCAACCTCCCTGCTGGTCACGCTTCACACATCTTTGACTCCCCCATGGTGTCTGGTACTGTGCTGACCTCTTCTGCTACCACCTTGCCTTGTACCAGCCCCCAACTTTAATCCAGCTTCCTTATATTTGCCCAAGTGATTTTTCCAAAGTGCAGGAGCAATGCTTAAAAACTTTCAAGGGCTCTCCACTGCCTGGGCAGGAAGGGCAAATTATAATTAATACCACGGTAACACTCATACCATCACTCCTATCCCATACTCATGGCAGACATCACTAATCAATCACAGACTTGATACTAACTGAGCCTTAGCAGGGTCTCCCATGATTTTCCAACTCAGAGTTCCAAACAGTGACTACCAGGAACCTGGTGGAAGTAGGAATGAAATCTATTTATTACTCTTGGCTTCAAGGACAAGATCCAAACGCTTGGGTGGCACACAAGAGCTTCTAGAACCTTCCCCTGCCTACTTCTCCAGCTTCATGACCTGATGCTCCTTTTTGCTGTTTGTGTTTTAGTCCTGCAGAACTAGAGTTCCCTCAAGCACATCATGTCCATTCTTGCCTCTGTGCTTTGTGCAAACTGCTCCTGCTGCCTGGAATGTCTTCACCCATTCTCTACCTGGTTGACTTCTAGTCCTTCAAGATTCAGCCCAGGCATGATCTCCTCCATGGTGTTCTGGAATCTTCACTCACCTGCGCTGAACTAGGCACTGTGTTCTCTGTGCTCCTGCAGCATCTGGGCTTCCCTCTGTCATGGCCCCCACCATATCATCATCCACCTGATGGGCTACAAGGACAGGGACTGTGCCTAGTGCCTTCTAGTATTCTCAGTGCCTTACACATGACCCAGTATACAGTAGGAACACAGCAGGTGCTTTTGTAACTAACCATGCTCAGTGTGTGCTCCTTAAGCACCTATCAAAGGACAGTGGAGCATTATGGGAAGGGGCATCAAGTGACTGGCTTGCAGTCCCAGCACTGACAATCTAGTTGCAAACCACTCCTGAAGCCTCAGCTTGCGTGTCTGTGAAATGGGATAATACTCTCTACCCAGTAATTTCCTCAAATGGGGGTCCAAGTGCACAGAGGGGACTTGGCAGGGAGAAGCCTTCTCACTGGGATAGTGATAATATCATTTTCCACATCCGGACCCAACTGGAAGCTCCCAGGGCTGAGGGCAGGGACCTGGGCTTCTCTTACCGACTTTACCACTTACTTGAAGCCCAGGAAGAGGATCTGTAGCCACAGCCAGGCCAGCAGCAGCAAGATGACCATGGTGGGGAAGGCGAAGCTGAACCAGGAGGCGAAGTTCACCACGTTGCCGTTTTGGGGGAAGAGCCTGAAGGAGGAACATGGGCTGCCGTATGACATTGCCCCGAGAACTGCCCAGCCCCATTCACCTCCCAGTGAGTGTGCAGATCCCCCAAGGTGGCCCATCCCTTATCACTCACGAGTTGATCTGGCCTTGCAGCACCAGGTTGGGTGCGGTGCCGGTCAGCGTGGCGATGCCCCCGATGCTGGCGGAGTAGCACACACACAGGCTCATGCACTGGGTGAGGCGGAGATGCTCCTGGCGGAGATGCTCCTGGCTGAGATGTGCCCTCCCCTCCGAAGGAGCAGATGTGACAGGGAGGGCCTGCCCATTATCTGGGAACAGGGGAGAGCCCAGGTGGGGGCAGGTACGGGGCCAGCTCTGGGGAATGTGGCCAGGGCTGCGAGGGCCTCAAAGGCACCTTGTCTGTGAACAGCCCAGACCAGGGCTGGAAGGAGGACAGAGGATGTCTGCAGGCCTGAGCGGCCCAGCAATCCCCAGAGTCTCAGGCTGGGAGCGGCCTCAGAATCTCTCTGATCTTTGATTACCCAAACCGCACAGGAAGAATGGATCCTAGACCTTGGACTGTCCAGCTAGACTCCCGTTCTCTTCTTGCTATGGTGACCAAGCATCTTGGCTTGCCCAGGGTTGAGGGGATTCCCAACACAGGGAACTTGCCATTTTAAAAAAAGGAAAAACAAATTGGTCACTGTCCTTCTTGCATCTCTTTCTTCTCTCCCCAAAGGCTCCAAGATGACCAGCCCTCGAAACGGACAGACCCTCAGACTCTCTCCAAGAACCAAGGAGTTGGGGCGGGGTCTAGCCTCATTTTTCTCACCAGGTTTGGTTGCCTCCTTCTGGGGACTTGGTTCCTGGAGCTCGAAGGTCGGGTTGTTGCTGCCCTCCTCGAGGTTACTGCTGGCTTGTGAGCTGTGCAGCTGGTCCAGGACGGCATGTGCGATGGGCACCATCATGGCCGAGGTGGCCGTGTTGCTGATCCACATGGACAGGAAGGCCGTGACCAGCATGAAGCCCAGCATTAGCCTAGGGACGGGCAGACAGACACACTGCTGTTGCAGCTTCCCTTCAGGAACTGGGTGCCCAGAACATCTCCTCATCAGGTTCTCCCGTGCTGGTTTGCAGGAACTCACAGGGCAGGCCGCACCCCAACGATGAGGAGGACCCGGAGGGCGATGCGTTTGTGCAGGTTCCAGTGTTCCACTGCGATGGCCACCAGCAGCCCCCCGATGAAGAGGATGTTGGAGTCCTTAAGATACTCGATGGCAACCTGGCAGGCAGAGACATGGCTGAGCGGGGGGAAGACCCTGGAGTCTCCCACGGTGCCCCCGAGCTTATGGGATTCAGTCACTGACATTCCCACAGACTGCCATTCCCCTGGGCTTTTGAAACTGGATGGAAATGGTCTCTGAATAATCTGCCATTTAAAAAAAATTAAATTTAACTTTTTGGAGACAGGGTCTAGCTCTGTTGCCCAGGCTGGAGGTGCAGCGGCACAATCACAGCTCACTGCAATCTCCACCTCCTTGGCTCAAACCATCCTCCCACCTCAGCCTCCTAAGTAGCTGGGACTACAGGCATGCACCACCATGCGCGACTAATTTTTGTATTTTTTGTAGAGATGAGGTTTTACCTTGTTGGCCAGGCTGGTCTCGAACTCGTGAGCTCAAGTGGTCCACCTGCCTTGGCCCCCTAAAGTGCTAGGATTACAAGCATGAGCCACCACGCCCGGCCTGGATTATCTACCATTTAATATCAACCAGGTTCCCCTCTTCTTGCCAAACTCACTTTATCTCCCCTCGGGAATAATTAATTGGGAGATAATCTACTGTGATTCCATTCATGTTTCAAGCCGTGGACTGGGAGATAGATATTTTAGTGCTGTTTCTCAAAACTAGACAGTGGTTCTCAAAGTATGGTCGCTGGGCCAGCATCATCACCATCTACGGGAACTCGTTAGAAATAAAATGCTTAGGCCCTACCCCACATCTACTGAATCAGAAACTCTGGACCCAGCCATTTGTGTTTTAACCAGCCCTCCAGGTGACCCCAACGCTGTTCAAGTTCAAGAGCCACTGAACTAGAAGTATATGAGTGTGTTAGCTGGCCTTCAAGGCCCCTTTTCTGTGTCACCAGGCCTTCCACCTCCCATCTAAGGCTGGCTCGTCACTCCCACTTTGAATGAACTCTCAGCACTAATTCTGCACCCCTCCCCACCCCAGCCTGCAGCCTTCTAGCTGATTTCCTCCTCATGCAGACGCAGGAACCCCTAATCCATGTGCCCTGCCTATGATGAGGCTTCCTTAGTCAACAAGGTCTGAGGGAACCCACCCCCTGGCCTCCCGCATTGCCCAGACGCTTTCTCCTATGGATGGGGGCTCACCTCAGAGGCATCCACGATGCCCATCATAGGGAACAGGATGATGGGGAAGAGGGCGGTGACAGCCAGGGGCAGGGCTTCCGTGCACCAGAAGAGCGCCATGAGAATGATGGCATACGCACAGTAGGCCTCCTGCAGGTGGGAGGGAAGCAGCAGAGCTGTCAGAGGGCCTGTGTCCTAGAGCCATGCTACCTCCTGTCCCTCAGACAAACCAGGCCATTTGTAACTGCCTTGGGAGAGCCTGTGACACCCATAGCCATCGATTCCCAAGCCCAAGGTCTCATTTCAAAATGTAAATAAAAAACAACGCAAAGCACTCAATATCACCTTGTCTTTGACCTTGGGGAGCCCAGACATTATAAGCCAGCCACTTCAGAAAGTCTGGAGTTGGTTACCAGTCCTCATCCAGACCAAAGGGATTGCAGGGGACCCAGTTGAGGATCCCAAGATGAGATGGGGGCTGCCAGAAGAAGGAGCGGGACCTGGGGAACGTGGACCTTTGCCTGGCACCCTGGCTTTCCCTGGCTCTTATCACAAGCAGCAAGAGTATGTTTGTTTGTTGGACATTTAGCGTTTGTTCCCTCTGCTAGGAGTGAGCTCTCCATCAGACAGAGTCGGTTTTGTGGCATCTGGATCCTTGGAGCTCAGGACCCAGCAGGTTTTGGAGCAAATCTTGTCTGAATGAATGAATCACTGGAGAGTTTTGGGAATGGTGGAGAGTCTCTTTTCTAGCAATCCTGGTCTGTCTGCTGCATTACACAACTCCAGAGGAGCAATTTACATTTATAGGCTATGTAAAGTTTCCAAGATGCTTGTGTTGTGCAGGGAATTGTGGGGCAACACTGAGTCTCGTGGGTCTTTGGGTACCAGAAGTCCCCCTTTCCTACATGAAACCTCTAAGTCTAGAGAAGCCTGACCTCAGGCCTGGAAGGGGACCTGGGGCAGGAATGGAGGCTCACCCTCCTTATAGAGCCTCTCCCAGGGCTGGGGAATCATTAGCCAGGAGAGGGCACCCGTATCCCCTCTCCAGGGGCCGGGCACCTGCCCGCTCTTTGTTTGCCAAAGGAAGAGGCCACATGCTGGGGTTTGTTGGACAGTGGGGCTGGGGGGCCCCTCCTCCCTTACCCATCCCAATTGCCCCGTCCTTGTCCAATTGCCCCGTCCTTGTCCTCTCCACCTCATACAGGCTAGGCTCACACTCTTAGTACCCTAAAGCTTGGGAAGGGTCCCTGAGGTGGGAGTAGGTGGTGGCCTGGGGGAGGAGGCAGCTGCTATTCAGCAATTCTTAGGAACTTAGTATTGTCATTTTTGTGCTTACATGAAAACATAACAGCCATTAAGGTGGGTGTGGTGGTCCCACCTTATAGATGAGCTCAGAGGGTAAATGGCTTGCTCAAGGTCACAGAACTATCACAAAAAGCGGCAGAGCCTGGATAGAACTCAGATAAGGGATTGGGATTGGGTAACCTTCAAGCGCTACCTAAGAGCACTCCCCTTTTAGTCTATGTGAATGTTGCCCCAACAATTGTGCAGTGCCCAGCTGCCCAGCTGCACATAGCCCCACCAAATCTGTTGGAAGCCAAGCTCTCTTTCCACCAAACCTCTGCTATCCCTCTTCATCCTGGCCATAAACTCATCAGCCCCAGGAGTGGGGCCATTTTGACCCTCAACCAGAGAAGCCCAGCCCCCACCTCCCCCCACAGGATTCTGCTGGTGCCAGTGTTTCCTCACCCGCAATGGCTGAATGGCCAGTTACCCTCCTCCTGGACTAAGGGCAGGCCAGCCCTCCTGGACCCTGGTGTCCTCCACCCTGTCCACCCAGAACTCTCTGGCCAGAGACAAGGGGCGGGGCTGGGATGGCACTCACTCTGCTGATTCAGGAAGAAGTTTCTGTACAAGTATTGGAGGGTGACTGTGTGCCAGGCATCATATTCTATGTGCTTCAAACACTTTTACAAGTTGCATTTAGTTGCTCTCAGAGGTAATAACTGTTGTTCCCATTTCACAGTTGAAAAAAGAAAGGAGTGAATAGAGTTCAAAAATGCCTCAAAGTCACATATATAGTAAGTGGAGAAGCCAGGCTATCTGCTTCCCGGGCCCCAGCTTTCACCTGTTACCCTGAGCATGATCACTTGCATTTGAGGGTGTCCTCAGCCTCAGGCTCCCTGTGACCAGTGGAGTGTAGGGAGAAGCAGCTGGGGCTCTGAATCCAGAGCTATCTTCCCCAGGGCCTGCCACTTACTGTGGCTGGGCTCTGTTAAGTCATGTCACTTTGAGACCCCGTTTCCATACTCCAAAGGGAGTTGTTAATAATCAGACCAGGTTGGGCATGGTGGCTCACGCCTGTAATCCCAGCACTTTGGGAGGCCGTGGCGGGCAGATCAACTTGAGTAAAGGAGTTCGAGACCAGCCTGGGCAACATGGCAAAAACCAGTCTCTACTAAAAATACAAAGAATTAGCTGGGTGAGGTGGTGAGCACCTGTAGTCCCGGCTACTTGGGAGGCTGAGGTGGCAAAATCACCTGAACCCAGGAGGTTGAGGCTGGAGTGACCTAAGATCATGTCACTGCACTACTCCAGTCTGGGCAACCGGAGTGAGACCTTGTATTAAAAAAAAAAAAAAAAAAAAAAAAAAAGTCAGACACACCTCCATGTGCTCCAGTGTGTGTGATACATGGCTCCCTCCCCTGTATGCCTGTGTCTGTGATGGGTCCCTCTCTATCTCTGGATCAAAACACAAGACCTGTTCCAAAGTTCCATCCAGAAGCTTTTGTTAACCCCGGTGGCTTTGGCCCTGCGTCCCTGTCCCGACTTCTGGGCAGCCTGTCAAGCTGGAGCACAATTTGCTGACTTGTTCTTCCTGCATCATGAGATTCTTAACTGGGGCATGGAATTCCAAGGATCCGTGAAGTTAAATGGGAAAACTATTTTATCTATTCACTAACATCAAACTAAGGTTGTGAACATAAAATCATAGTGCTATTAATGGTATTATTGGTGACTTGGTCACAGATATTTGATTGTGACTATCAGCTATTAGACACTGATCCAGATAAGTTGTCACAGTTATCTCAGAATATATTTCGACATTCTGTTTACCTCCATCCTTATTTGGAAATTTTGGTAATTATTATACCAACTTTAGATCTTACCTAATGTACCAGCAAGGAAACACATCTATTTCTGGGCTGCAATTTATTTTTCCATATTTTGATACCTGTATTTCAAAATAATTGGTTTATTTGTGATCCCACGCCTTTTATTTTGTACATTTTATTTCTTATTTTTTCTAATTAAAAAAATTTTTTTTAGAGACAGGGTTTCTCTCTGTTGCCCAGACTGGAGTTCATGGTGTGAGCATAGCTCACTGCAGCCTCCAACTGCTGGGCACAGGCAATTCTCCCGCCTTAGATTCCCAAATAGCTGGGACTACAGGCATGCGTCACAATGCCCAGCTAATTTCCTTTTTTTTTTTTTTTTTTTGTATTTTTTGTAGAGATGGGTCTTGCTTTGTTGCCCAGGCTGGTCTCAAACTGCTGGCTTTAAGTGATCCTCCCACCTCAGTCTCCCAAGATGCTGGGATTACAGGTGTGAGCCACTGTGCCTGGCCTGTGCATTTCAAAGTAATTTTCTGAAAAGGGCAGAACCAAGACTCAGGGAGGGTTGGGGTTTGAGACTGAGGAGTTGTCAGTGTTCTGAGAGGCCCCCCGGGTCAGGTACTCTTGGGCACTCCCTGAAGGCAGAGCCCTAGGGGTCTTTTCTTCTTAGGCACACAGTATATCCAATTACAAGGTCAGTGTTCCCAGCTCTAGAAGTGGGACTTTGGGGATCAGCCTTATCTTTCCAGCTCACTCAATGCTCTCTGCCTTGCAGCCCAGCTCTATGGAACCTAGGACAGCCAAGCTCAACTGGCAGCCTACGGCATGGGACTCAGCTGGTTTACACGCTGGCCACTGGCTGCTCCCCAGGACTGCTGCACTGCACAAGTCCAGGTCACCATTCTCATATGGAGTTATGCAAGGCATAGCTTGCACTGCAGTCCCTGGTGGCCCCTCCTGGAGCTCAGAAACTAGCAGGGAAGAGTTTTCTTCTGGTGGCAATGCTCTTCTTTCTGCCTCTGGCCTTGCCTCCTCCTTCCCCAGGTCAGCAGGGTGGTTGTTCCCTAGCTCTGTTTCTTGACGGTAGCAGCTACTCTCCTCTCAGGATCTGTATATGGGCTCCTGAGGACAGGGGCGTAGCCTCTTTCTCCTCTGTGATCTAGCTTGTAGCTCTTTTGCAGGTGCTGGCCTGGTCTGTAAAGCCTCCTTTCCCACTGGTGTCATCCCCACCCCCAAGGAAGTCACCCTGTTCAGATCCTTACTCTTCTCCACCCAGCAGTCAATCCCCGTGATTAGAAGCCCACTGCGGGCAGGCCCTTGGCCTCCTGCCTGTTCATCAGCCACTCATTCCACAAATACCCTCTCTGGGCCATGCACCCAGTCCTGCTGGTTCTGCCCCTTGAGTGCTCCCATTTATTTCTCTGTAGCTCTGGAACACTAGCCTGGTCCAAGTTTCAGCAAGACCTCTGCAAAAGCCTCCTTATTCATCTCCCAGCTTCCTCTCTTGACCCTGAAATCCTTTCTCCTTGCTGCAGCCAGAGTGATCTCAAAGCACAAATCTGTTTAATTTGTACTCCCCCTCCCTCAGCACACACACACTCATCTCAAAACAGCTCACATCCCTTTGGTGGCTTCCTAGTGCTTTCAGGAACCTAAGTTCAGGGTTGGTCTGTGCCTCATATCTTAACACTCTCCCTCTTACTCTCTCTGCTCTGGCCATACCAGCCCTCTGTGGGTTCCTCAAATACTGCATCCTCCCTCTGGCCACAGGGCCTCTGCCCACAATTTCCTTTCTCTGGACCTCTCTTCCCTCCCTACTTTGCTTAGTTGATATCTACTGGTTCTTGAGATCTCAGCTCAAATATTGATTTTTCAGGCTGGCTTCCAGGCGGGGATATAGTTCCCATTTTTCACACTCCAAGTCCCTGTACGTCTTCTGCATAGCACTCATCATAGTCTGCAATTAAACATTTAGTTTTAGGGACTAAATGATGAGTATCAATCTTTGTTGTCAGACTCTACCCTTCAGGGAGC